CTAACACAACAGAGCAGACTCCAGCCACCCGTGCAGTGGGCGTCAGGCACCCTGTTGTCCTCGACATTTGAAAAAAAACAAAGTAATAAATACTTATGTTTGATTCCTAAACACACACGGCTCACACATGAGTCTCGGGGTGCCTCGCGGCTGGCCCAGAGTGTCATTTTCGGTGGCCTCGTCCTGAAGCTGTTCAATTTCCATTCATCCCTTCTGAGTGATGTAGTTAAGCCAACCTAGCCCCTAGTGTAGACAGCACTTCTTCTATCGACCTTGCTACAGGCTCCTGGAGAGGTGGATTAGCTACGCCACTGGGAGACCCCTCCGGTCGGCATAGGCAGTCTCTATACTGAAGCATCCGATGGCTCAGCTGCAGCTATGCCACTGCAGCGTTTCAAGTGTAGACAAGCCCTAAGATCGAGTGTGCAGACAGGAGTCTAAGTATATGAACTAGGGACTGGGGTGCTGTCTCTCCCTGCACTCGTTATTGCTTGCTAAACAGTTTGGGACTCTCAATCTTGCAATAGATTTTACAATTTGAAGCATTTTCCCTTGGTGCCAAGTGAATGCATGTGCAATCCTGTTCCTTTTTATGTGCAGATTTCCTTGCCAGTAGAGCGCTCCCCGCTTCCAGCGTCTGCAGCCTGGGCTTCATGTTCCCATCCTAAACGTAGGCACCTTCCTCCCTGTTTAGGAACTTTAAAGTGAAGTTCAGAGATGTGCTGAGCACCCAAAAGTGGAGTTGGTGGCAGTGGTAGACAGCTGACCCCTCGGAAAGCCAGACCACTTTTCTTTTGGTCCCTACGTCAGGACTTAGGAGTGTACGTTCAGGCACCACATGTTTGACCATTTAAGCAACCAAGTGAGAGGCCAGGGAGAGTACCTAGCCCACTGTTCATCCTCTATTTGCAGCTCTGGTTACCAACCAATCATTTCTTTTTCTCTTGTGCAGGAGATGGCATACCGATCCTTTCCTGTGGAGGCGGACTGGGTTTCTGCTTAGTGAACTTGAGAATATGCCCTCTTGGTACAGTAGCGGG